ATAGTGGAACAATTAGGAGGAGGCAAAAAAGAAAACACAGTGTAGAGACACCATAGATCTTCTAGATGTTCTGTTGGATTAGAAGATCTCCGATGTCTTTCCAATTGTTATTCTCTACAGTATTCCATATTCTTGGAAAATGTGAATGTCTTATGGTTGCCTTTCTTATCTCACTGCTTTCCCTTTTCAAAAACACATATTATGCTTATCTTATGCTTCTGGGAAAGAGTGCTGAGGCAAAAAGAGAAAATTGAATTCCTTATTCTGGAGTTAAAGGGGGGGGGGAACATTGAAAGTTCCTGCCTTTTATTTTGACAATGCGAAATTATTACAGCAATGAGTAGGTGAGGAGGAAATATTTAACTTTCTTTGTTCTATGCAGAATAATTCTCATTGGAACATTTTGCACTTTCTTGGAAATTGAAATTGTCACCATCATCCTGGCTGGTTCGATCTGGCAGGGTTGGCACCAGGGGTGAAATTCCATTTTTTTTACTACCAGTTCTGTGGGTGCGACTTGGTGGGCGTGGCAGGGGAAGGATACTGCAAAACCTCCATTCCCACCCCACTCCAGAGGAAGGATACTGCAAAATCTCCATTCCCACCCTATTCCAAGGGAAAGACATTGCAAAATCTCAATTCCCACCCCACTCCAGGGGAAGGATACTGCAAAATCTCCATTCCCCCTTCTCTGGGGTCAACCAGAGGTGGCATTTGCTGGTTTTCCAGACTACTCGAAATTTCCGCTACCGGATTCCCCAGAACCTGAAGAATTTCATCCCTGGCTGGCACACTTTTAAGTTTCTTTGGTTAAATCAGTGTTGCCCAACCTTGCAAATTTTAAGATGTGTGGACTTCAACTCCAACATACTGGCTGGGGAATTCTTGGAATTTTAGAAGGCCACATGTCTTAAAATCCCAAGGTTGGGAAACATCAGTCTAAGAGGTGAGCCCTTCGCTGCATCTAAATACTTTGAACTGGAGTAGGGCTTTGCTGGCTTGGAATTTCTGGGAGTTTAAGTCCACACACCTTAGATACAAATTAACAGAGTTGGAAGGGACCTTGCAGGTCATCTAGTCCAACCCCCCCACACCCAGCAGATCATACACCATTTTTGACAGATGACAATCCAGTATCTTCTTGAAAGCCTACAGTGATAAAACTGCCAGGACATCTGAAGGCAAACTGTTTCACTGGTTGATTGTTCTCAGTCAGAAAATTTCTCCTTATTTCCAAACTGAATTTCTCCTTGTTCAGTTTCCATCCATCATTCCTTGTCTGGCCTTCAGGTGTCTTGGAAAATAGCCTGACCCCTTCCTCTCTGTGCAAACTCTTTGAAAGGGGAGGGGGTTGGACTAGATGACCTACAAGGTCTCTTCCAATTGTTAACCTGTATCTATATTTGGATCTTCGCCCACATTTGGGCCAAGGTTAAGTGATTGCATTGGGGTGAACTCGGTCCCCATTTTTCACATAAGGGCTGGGACGCGAACGGGGCTTAAATTCGTGATCTTTGAATCACGCCGATGACAGTCCTCCCATCCAGCCGCCGGTGGTCCTTTTCCGTTTTCCAGTGAGAGGGAAACGATCCCGATGGTATCCCTGCCCGGGCGACACTTTCCGTGGAGGCTGGAATCTACTTCTGCACCTCCCAGGGGATCGATCCAGAGCGCCCCAAGAGGCCATAATAAAAGCCCAGGAATTTATCGGCACTTTCGTTTCTGGGCTGGTGGCTGCTTTCCATTTCCCGTCAACTAAAAGGAAAAGGGCGGGGACCGCGCTGGCATCTTTCAAGGCCCAAATCACCGCCCCGGAAAAGAAGTTTGAGGAAGCAAATCACTTTGTCTAAGCCGTCCCCGCCTTTCGCACAGCCTGCGCCACAACTTGCGGAGTCGTTTCTCCCTTGTTTTGGGGGTCCTGGGAGGTTTGCTGAGGTCTCCCCGTTGTCATCGTCCCTTTCCAACCCTCGGCTGATAGAAAGCTCTCTGTAAAGGTAAAGAGTTCTTGGATGTACTCGCGAACGCCAAAGGGTGGAGAAAATGATCGGGATCTCCTTTATTACAGTACTTTCTCTGCCGACAATGGGATACTACATGCCCCCCCTTCCGCGAATTTAATCTCATTTCACTCGGCGGGGACGCCAGAAACCATAGTTGGCTGATCCAGCACAGGCAACGCACAAGCTAGATATTTTGATCATGGTTTAGTGTGAGTTGCTGAGCTAATTTTGGTTTATTCAATAAACGGGGATAATAAGCGAAAAGCG